CAGTCCCCCCAGTCCCCCCACTCCCTCCCAGTGCCCCCAGTCTCACCCCGCTGTCCCCAGTGGATCTCAGCAGCTGGCGGGCGCGGCTGGAGCGGGCGGAGCAGCGCCCCGAGGATGAGGAGGATGATGAGGATGAGGAGGAGGAGGAGCCCCTGGGCAGGGACGAAGAGGAGGAGGAGCAGGGGGCGGGGCCGGGGGGCGTGGCCCGGCCCCGGCAGTGGGAGCGCTACCGGCACGGCGTGCTGACCCTGGGCTGCGTGGGTGAGGGGCGGGGCCACGGGGGCGGGGCCATTGGGTGGGCGTGGTCACTGAGGGTGTGGTCACTGAGGGTGTGGTCACTGTGGGTGTGGTCACTGGGGTGGTAATGAGGTGTGATCAGTGGGTGTGGTTGGTGGGTGGAGTCAAGGGGTGTGGTCAGTGTGGGTGTGGTTTTAGATGGGCGTGGCTCACAGGGGGTGTGATTTAGATGGGCGTGGCTCACAGGGGGGGTGATTTAGATGGGCGTGGCTCACAGGGGGTGTGTCCCAGGTGGGTGTGGCTTTGTACCCTGGGTGGGGGCAGCTCACAGTGGGTGTGGTTTAGGTGGGCGTGGTTTTAGGTAGGCGTGGCTCACAGTGGGTGTGGTTTAGGTGGGCGTGGCTCGCAGTGGGTGTGGTTTAGGTAGGCGTGGCTCACGGTGTGGCTCACTGTGGGTGTGGTTTAGGTGGGCGTGGCTCACAGTGGATGTGTCCCAGGTGGGTGTGGCTTTGTACCCCGGGTGGGCGTGTCTCTGTGCCCGGTGGGCGTGTCTGACGCGAGCGTGGCCCCGCCCAGGGCTGCCGAACGCGGGCAAGTCGTCGGTGCTGAACGCGCTGCTGGGCCGCGGCGCCGTGGCCGTGTCGCGCTGCCCCGGCCGCACGCGCTACTTCCAGACGCACTTCCTGACGGGCAGCGTGCGCCTCTGCGACTGCCCGGGGCTCGTCTTCCCCTCGAGAGCCCCGCCCGAGCTCCAGGTGAGACCCCAGCCCCGCCAGGTGAGACCCAAACCCGCCAGGTGAGACCCCAGCCCCGCCAGGTGAGACCCAGCCCCGCCAGGTGAGACCCCAGCCCCGCCAGGTGAGACCCAAACCCGCCAGCTGAGAGATAAACCCGCCCAGGTGAGACTCCAACCCCGCCAGGTGAGAGCTGAACCCCGCCAGGTGTGCCCCAAACCCGCCCAGGTGAGAGCCCAGCCCCGCCCCAGCCCTGCCAGGTGAGACCCCAGCCCCGCCAGGTGAGAGCTGAGCCCCCCTCCCCAGGTGTATTCTCAATGCCGTATTCACCGCAGGTCCTGGCAGGGCTGTACCCCGTTATTTAATCCCATTCTCTCTGTTCCCACAGGTCCTGGCAGGGCTGTACCCCACTGTTTAATCCCATTTTCTCTCCCAGGTCCTGGCAGGGCTGTACCCTAATCCCATTGTTGTTCACAGGTCCTGGCAGGGCTGTACCCCATTGTCTCTCTCCCCCCAAGTCCTGGCAGGGCTGTACCCCACTGTTTAATCCCATTCTCTCTCACAGGTCCTGGCAGGGGTGTACCCCAATCCCATTGTTGTTCACAGGTCCTGGCAGGGCTGTACCCCATTGTCTCTCCTGTTTCAGGTCCTGGCAGGGGTGTACCCCGTTATTTAACCTCATTGTGTTTCTCTCCCAGGTCCTGGCAGGGGTGTACCCCATCTCGCAGCTGCAGGACCCCTACTCGGCCGTGGGCTTCCTGGGGTCCCGCCTGGCCCTGCCCCCCCTGCTGCAGCTGCGCCCCCCCAGCGGCCCCGGCTGGACGGCCTGGGAGCTCTGCGAAGGTGCGACCTGCCGGGACCTGCCGGGACCTGCCGGGATTTGGGGGGAATTTGGTGGAATTTGGGCGTTTGGGGTTCGGGGAATTTTTGGGGCATTTCTGAGGAGAATATTTGGGAATATTTCAAATTTATTCGAGAATATTTCGGATTTTTTATGGGAATTGTTCAGGAATATTTGGGGAATTTAAAATTTAGGAATGTTTGGGGTTTATTGGGGAATATTTGCGGATATTCAAGGGGTTTCCCCTGATTTTTGGGGGTTTTTTCCCTGATTTTTAGGGATTTTTTCCCCTAATTTTTGGGTTTTTTCCCTGATTTTTTTGGGATGTTTTCCCCTGATTTTCGGGTTTTTTTCCTCTGAATTTTTGGGATGGTTTTGAGGTGGTTTTGGGTATTTTGGGGGTTTTTTCCCTGATTTTTTTGGGATGTTTTCCCCTGATTTTCGGGTTTTTTTCCTCTGAATTTTTGGGATGGTTTTGAGGTGGTTTTGGGTATTTTGGGGGTTTTTTCCCTGATTTTTTTGGGATGTTTTCCCCTAATTTTTGGTGGTTTTCCCCTGCCATTTTAGGACATTTTCTGGGTGTTTTTGCTGAGTTTTTTGGGCTGTTTCTCCTGCCATTTTCTGACATTTTTTGGGATATTTTTGGAGTATTTTTTGGGACCTTTCCCTGCCATTTTCTGACCTTTTTTGGGGTATTTTTGGGACTTTTCCTTGGCATTTCTTGGGATATTTTTGGGGTATTTTTGGGACTTTGCCATTTTCTGACATTTCTTGGGGTATTTTTGGGCTATTTTTGGGACCTTTCCCCTGCCATTTTCTGACATTTTGGGCTATTTTTGGGACTTTTCCCCTGCCATTTTCTGACATTTTTGGCTGGTTTTTGTGCTGTTTCCTCTGCCATTCTGTGACATTTTTTGGGGTATTTTTGGGATGGTTTTGTGCTGTTTCCCTGCCATTTTCTGGCATTTCTTGGGATATTTTTGGGGTATTTTTGGGACTTTGCTTTTTTCTGACATTTCTTGGGGTATTTTTGGGCTATTTTTGGGACCTTTCCCCTGCCATTTTCTGACACTTTTGGCCGTGTTTCCCCAGCCTGGGCAGAGAAGAGAGGCTACAAGACGGCGCGGGCGGCGCGCAACGACGTGGCCAGGGCGGCCAACGGGCTGCTCAGGCTGGCAGCCGAGGGCAGGCTCAGGCTCTGCATGACACCCCCGGGCTACACAGAGCAAAAAGGTACCAAAAACATCCAAAATCGGGGATTTGGGGTACAAAAATACCCAAAATCGGGGATTTGGGGCAGTTCTGGGGCAGTTCTGGGGCAGTTTGGGGCTGCTCAGGCTGGCAGCCGAGGGCAGGCTCAGGCTGTGTCTGACACCCCCGGGGTATTCACAGCAAAAAGGTACCAAAAACATCCAAAATTGGGGATTAGGGACCCAAAAATATCCAAAATCGGGGATTTGGGACTCAAAAATATCCAAAATCGGGGATTTGGGACTCAAAAATATCCAAAATCGGGGATTTGGAGCAGTTCTGGGGGGATTTGGGATACAAAAAACCCCAAAATTGGAGATTTTATACCTAAAAAATCCCCTCAAAATTGGGGGGTTTTGCAAGGATTTAGTACCCAAAAGACCAAAAATACCCAAAATTGAGGATTTGGGACCCAAATATATCAAAAATTGGGGATTTAGGATTCAAAAGCCCCCAAAATTTGGGGTGTTATACCAAAAACACCCGAAAATGGCGACATTTGGGATGGATTTAGTGCCCAAAAAACCTCAAAATCGGTGATTTGGGGGTTTTGGCAAATTTTGGGGGGATTTGGGGCAGTTTTGGTACCCAAAAAACTCCAAAACTGGGGATTTGGGACCCAAAAAACCCCAAAATTGGGTTTTGGGGGGATTTTGCGGAGTTTTGGTACCCAAAAAACTCCAAAACTGGGGATTTGGGACCCAAAAAACCCCAAAATTGAGGATTTGGGACATAAAAAACCCCAAAATTGGGTTTTGGGGGGATTTTGGGGAGTTTTGGTACCCAAAAAGCTCCAAATTTGGGGATTTTGGGGTGAATTTGGGGGGTTTCGGGTCGTGTTTTTGGGGGTTTTTTGGGGGTCTGGGCCCCTCCCGGGTTGGCCCCGCCCCCTGAGCCCGCCCTGACCCCGCCCCGCCCCTCCCCCAGAGCACTGGGAGCTCCACCCCGACACCGCGGCCCTGGCGGCCATGACAGGGGGCGGGGCCTGCGCCCCTCCCCCGCCCGGGGCCGCCTCCAGCTCCGAGGACGACGAGGGGGCGGAGCCCGAGCAGGCCACGCCCCCTCCCAGCCCCGCCCACAACCCCTTCGCGCTGCTGGGGGAGGACGAGTGCTGAGCCACGCCCCCTCCCGGGGGAGGAGCCAATCAGAGCGCGCGGATCCTCGCATGACCATATATGGAATAAAGGGTTTATTTCTGCAGAGCTGATTGGCCGGTCAGAGCGCGGGGGCGGGGCCTGCGGGGCGAGGGCATTGTTAGGCCACGCCCTTTTCCTTATATGGACTTTGCTCCACCCACATCCCCTTATTTGGGCTTTGCCCCACCCACAATCCTTTATTTGTGTTCTTTCCCCACCCACATTTCCTTATTTGGGTATCATCATACCAACATTCCCTTATATGGATGTTGCCCCACCCACATCTTTATTTTGTGCTTTGCCCCACCCACATTTCCTTATTTGGGTTTGTGCCCCACCCACACTTCATTATTTTGGCTCTGCCCCGCCCACATTTCCTTACTTGGGCTTTTCACCACCCACATTTCCTTATTTGGGCTTTGCCCCGCCCACATTTCCTTACTTGGACTTTGCCCCACCCACATTTTTATTCTGGGGTTTGCCCCACCCACATTTCCTTATTTGGGTTGCTCCCTCCCACATTCCCTTATATGGACTTGGCCACACCCACCTTTACCATATTTGGACTTGGCCCACCCGTCTTTAAGTCCCACCCTGAAAGCCACGCCCACATTTCCATATTTAGAGCTGACCACGCCCCTTTCCCCTCCACGCCCCGCCCCCTCTGACCTGTGGGCGTGTCCTGCGCGGGTGGGCGTGGCCGGGGCGGGCGTGGCCGGGGCGGGCACAGGAAGCGCCGCCCGCGGCCGCAGCGGAGGCAGCGCAGGACCAGGCGGGGCTGGCCACGCCCTGGGGCGGGGCAGGGGCGGGGGCACCAAAGGACACGCCCACGAGCCTCGGAAAACGCCCAAAAACCCCCAAAATCCCCCCAAAAATCCCCAAACTTCTCCAAATTCCTCCAAAATCCCCCCAAAAATCACCACAATCCCCCAAATCCCAAAAAGTCTCCCCAAATTTCCCCAAAATCTGACAAAGTCATGCAAAAATCACCAAATCTCCCCCAAAATTTCCCCAAATCTTCCCCAAACCACCCACGAAATTCCCCAAAAAATCACAAAATGCCCCCAAATTCCCCAATAAATCCCCAAATTCTGGAAAAATCATGTAATCCCCAAATCTCCCCAAAATTCCCCCCAAAATCCCCTCAAATTCCCCCAAATCACCCAACCCCCCCCCAAAATCCCCCCGAAACCTCCCAGGAATAAAAAAAAAATCAAAAAAAATCCCAAAATCCCCTCAAATTCCCCCCCAAAAAACCCAAAATCCTAAAAATCCTCCCAAAATCCCCCAAAATGCCCTAAAAAAACCCCAAAATGCCCCCAAAACCCCCACAAATACCCCAAAATCTCCTCAAAAATCCCCCCAAATGCCCCCAAAACCCCAAAATCTCCCTAAATCCTCCCAAACTCTCCCAAACAATCCCAAAAATCTCCCCAAAATCCCCCAAAAACTGCATCAAACCCCCCCAAAACCCCCACAAATACCCCAAAATCTCCTCAAAAATCCCCCCAAATGCCCCAAAATCCCTCCCAATGCCCCCAATATCCCCCCAGAATTCCCCAAAATCCCCAAATTTCCCAAATTTCCCCAAAATGCCCAAATCCCACCCCGCAGGCGGGCGCTGCTCCCCTCCCCCGGCGCCTGCAGGGAGCAGCAGCCGCGGCACAGGCGGCGCTTCACCGAGGGCGCCCTGGGGGGAAACCAAAAGTGCACAAAATTACACAAAATACCCCAAAATCAGCACAAAATAAACCTGAATTGTCCTGGAATACCCCAAAATCAGCACGAAATTACACAAAATTACACAAAATATCCCAAAACCAGCACAAAATAAACCTGAATTGTCCTGGAATACCCCAAAATCAACTTAAAATAACCCAAAATATACCAAAATCGTCCTGAAATGTACCCAAATCAGCACAAAATTACCCAGAAAAATAACCCAGAGTCCCCAATAAATACCCCAAAATCAGCACAAAATTACACAAAATTACACAAAATATCCCAAAACCAGCACAAAATAAACATGAGTCGTCCTGAAATAACCCAGAATCAACTTAAAATAACCCAAAATATACCAAAATCGTCCTGGAATATCCCAAAATCAGCACAAAATAACCCAGAATCATCCTGGAATATTCCAAAATCAGCAGAAAATTACACAAAATATCCCAAAACCAGCACAAATTAACCTGGAATCGTCCTGAAATATCCCAAAATCAGCACAAAATCACACTAAATATCCCAAAATCAGCACAAAGTAAATATGAGTCATCCTGAAATGCCCCAAAATCACCACAAAATTACACAAAATTACACAAAATATTCCAAACTCAGCACAAAATAACCCAGGACCATCCTCAAATACCCAAAATCAACATAAAATAAACCAAAATCGCCCCAAAAAAACCCCAAAAATAACCCAGAACCATCCTGGAATCACCTCAAAATAACCTAAAATACACCAAAATTACCCCAAAATCACCCAAAATAGCCAAAACGAATCCAAAATAATCCTGAAATAACTCAAAATCACACCCAGAAAACCCCAAATCCCAGAAAATCCCCCCCAAATCCCCCAAAATTCCCAAAATCCCCCCAAAACCACCACGAAACCTCTCCAAAATCCCCTCAAACCCCCCCAACCCCCCCTAAAAACCCCTCAAAATTTTCCCCCCAACCCCCAAAATCCCCCAAAATGTCTCAAACGCCCCCAGTTTGCCCAAAATCGCCGGGTTTTGCCCCAGACTCACATCCGCAGCACGAGGCGCCGCGCCGCCGCCCGCTGGGTGCGCAGCAGGAACCGCGACAGCCCCGGGCACAGGGGCAGGCACCAGTGAGCCGCCTGCGGGGGGAATTTGGGGGAAATTCGGGGCTTTTGGGAAAATCTGGGGCTTGGGGGATTTTGGGGATTTTTTTGGGATTTTAATTTTAGGGCAGTTTTAGGGGATTTTTGGGGGATTTTTTAGGGGTTCTTGGAGATTTTTTGGGAGATTTTTTGGGGGATTTGGGGATGTTTTTTGGATTTTGGGATTTTTTGGGAATTTTTAAGGAAGCTTTGGGGGATTTTGGGTGGGTTTTTGGGGGTTTATTAGAGGTTTTTTGGGGTTTTTTGGGGGTTTTTTTGAGTGATTTTGGGGGGCTTAGGGGATTTTTGGGGGTTTTTTTAGGGGTTTTTGGAGATTTTTTGGGAGATTTTTCGGGGGCATTTTTTGGGATTTTGGCTTTTTTTGGGGGATTTTTCGGGGAGTTTTGGGGGTTTTTTTGGGTGGTTTTGAGCGAATTTTGGGGGGGTTTTGTAGGATTTTGGGGGAATTTTAGGGGATTTTTGGAGAATTTTTGAGGGGGCTTGGGGGAAATTTTTCGAGGGGTTTGGGGTTTTTTAGGGGGATTTTGGGGGGATTTTGGGAATTTTGGGGGAGTTTTGGGGGATTTTTGGGGCGCAGACCCCTCCCCAAAACCCCCCAGCCCCGGGGAGCCCCAAAATCCCCAAAATTCTCCCAAAATTCTTCCAAAATTCCCCCAAAATTCTCTCAAAAATCCCCAAAATTTGCCAAAATCCCCCAAATTCGCCCCAAACCCGCACCTGGAACAGGAAGTTCAGCCTCTGCAGCGCCTCCCGATCCTTCACGGGCGCCGCCATCTTCCCCTGGCCCCGCCCCTTGTGGGCGTGGCCGAGGCTCCTCATTGGTCAGCGCCTCAGCGGGGTGGGCGTGGCCTCGTTGTGGCGTTACGTCACTTCCGGGGCCGTTTTGGGGACCTTTTTGGGGTCCCCTCCCCCCATTTGGGGACCCCGGGTGGGGAATTTGTCCCCAGATCCCCAAATTTTCCCGAATTGTTCAAAATTATGCCAAATTTACCCAAATTTCCCCAATTTTTTCCAAATTATCCCAAAATCGTAAATTATTCTCAAATTATTCCCAAATTATCCCCAAATTCCCAGGTTGTCCCCGAATTCCCGCGGCCCCTCCTGTCCTTCGTCCCCTCCTGTCCCCAAAATTCCCAAAAAATTCCCAAAAAATTCCCCAAGAAATTCCCGACTTGTCCCCAAATCCCGTGTCCCTCTGTCCCCAAATCCCGTGTCCCTCTGTCCCCAAATCCCGTGTCCCTCTGTCCCCCCCTGTCCCCACTCCCAAATTCCGGTGCCACCCCCGCGTCCCCAAATTCCGATGTCCCTCCGTGTCCCCAAATTCCAGATTCCGATGTCCCCGCGTCACCCCCGTGTCCCCTCCTGTCCCCGCCCCGACATTCCCGTGTCCCTCCGTGTCACTCCCGTGTCACTCCCGTGTCACCCCCGTGTCACCCTCGTGTCCTGCCCCGTGCCCGTGTTTGTGTCGCTCCTGTCCCCGCCCCGCGGTGCCACCCCTGTCCTCAGGGTGCCACCCTTTGTGCTCAGGGTGCCACCCCTGTCCCTTCCTGTGTCCCCGCCCCTGTCCCCTCCTCTCCCGCCTCTGTCCCGGCTCTGTCCCATCTCTCCTGTCCCCTCCTGTCCCCGCTGTCCCCCCCGGGAGGGATGGAGGGGACAGAGCTGGGGACGGGGGGGACACGGGAGGGGACAAAGGTGACACCGCGGGGACAGCGAGGACACGGGAGGTGCACGTGAGGTTTGGGGATTTTTGGGTTTGTTTTGGTTTTTGGGGTTTTTTGGGGGGAGATTTGGGGTTTGGGGACATCGGGACAGGAGGGGACAGAGGAGGGGACAGCGCTGAGCCAGGAGGTGCCGGGAAAATGTGGGGATTTTGGGGTTTTTTTTGGGAGGTTTTGAGGATTTTTGGAGAGGAAATTTGAGGATTTTGGGGGGAAATTTGGGGATTATTTTCTTTTAATTTTTGGGGGGGATTTGGGGATTTTTTGGCGGGGGGGATTGGGGATTTTTGGGGAAATTTGAGGATTTTGGGGGGAAATTTGGGGATTATTTTCTTTTAATTTTTGGGGGGGATTTGGGGATTTTTTGGCGGGGGGGATTGGGGATTTTTGGGGAAATTTGAGGATTTTGGGGGGAAATTTGGGGATTATTTTCTTTTAATTTTTGGGGGGGATTTGGGGATTTTTTGGCGGGGGGGATTGGGGATTTTTGGGGAAATTTGAGGATTTTTTTTGGGAAATTTGAGGATTTTTGGGGGGGAATTGAAGATTTTTGGGGGGAAAATTTGGGGATTTCTGCGGGAATTTTTGGGGTGAATTTGAAGAGAATTTGGGGGAAAAAAAAAAAATTGGGCAATTTTAGGGATTTTTTGGGGGTGTCCAGGTGGGATTTGGGCACTTCCGGACCCCCCCCCCGAATCCGGGGGTGGGGGAGGGGCTGAATTTTTGGGGACAATTTGGGGACAAATCGGCGCCACCCCAAACCCGGGGGTGGGGGAGGGGAGGGGGAAACGACCCCAAAATTTCAAATTTTGGGGATTTTTTGTGCGTTTTTTTGGGATTTTTGGGGGGTGATTGTGGGGTTTTGAGGGTTTTTGGGACACGGGGATGCGCGGGAGACACGGCGGGGGACAGGGGGTGACAGAGGGGACACGGGAGGGGACACCGGAGGTGACACGGGCGGTGACACCGCGGGGACAGTCCGGAGACGGAGCCGAGCCGGGAGGTGCAGGTGAGCTTTGGGGATTTTGGGGGTTTTTGGTGGTTTTGGGGACACGGAGATGCGCGGGGATGGAGGGGACAGCGGGGACAGGGGGGACACAGAAGGGGACACGGGAGGGGACAAAGGTGACACGGGAGGTGACACCGCGGGGACAATCAGGAGAGCGCGCCGAGCCGCCAGGTGCAGGTGAGCTTTGGGGATTTGGGGTTTTTTTGGGGTGATTTTGGGTTTTTTGGGGACATCGGGACACGGGAGGGATGGAGGGGACAGAGCTGGGGACAGGGGGGTGACAGAGGGGACACGGGAGGGGACACCGCGGGACGGCGCCGAGCCGCCAGGTGCAGGTGAGATTTGNTTTTTTTTTTTTTTGGGGGTTTTTTTTTTTTTTTTTTTTTTTTTTTGTGGGGGGGGGGGTCCCGGCTTCAACCCCAGGCAGTGAAAAAATTGAAAATTTTAAATTTTAAATTTCGGGGGAAATTTTGGGGCTGGAAAATTCCGGGATTTTGGGGTAAAATTCTGGGATTTTGGGGTAAAACCCCTGGAATTTTGGGATGCAAAGTCGGGAGTTTTGGGGTAAAATTCCGGGATTTTGGGGTAAAATTCCGGGATTTTGGGGTAAAATTGCAGGAAATTTGAGGATAAAAACTCTGGGATTTTGGGGGTAAAACTCCAGAATTTCGGAGCAAAAATCTTGGAATTTTGGGGTAAAAAAATCCTGGAATTTTTGGGTTAAAACTCTGGGATTTTGGGGGTAAAACTCCAGAATTTCGGAGCAAAAATCTTGGAATTTTGGGGTAAAAAAATCCTGGAATTTTTGGGTTAAAACTCTGGGATTTTGGGGGTAAAACTCCAGATTTTGGGAACAAAAATTTCGGAAATTTTGGGGCTAAAAAATCCGGGATTTTGGGGCAAAACCCCTGGGATTTTGGCCTGAAAATTCGGGAATTTTTGGGGCAAAATTCAGGAATTTCAGGGATAAAACTCCAGAATTTGGGAGCAAAAAATCTTGGAATTTTTGGGTTAAAACTCTGGAATTTTGGGAGCAAAAACTTAGAATTTTTGGGTTTAAATACTGGAATTTTCAGTGTTAAAACTCTGGAATTTTGGGGCTGAAAGTCCCGAGATTTTGGCACCAAAACTTGGAATTTTGCCACTAAAATTCTGAAAATTTGGGGGCAAAACCCCCAAGAATTTTAACCCTAAAGCCCCAAAATTTTGGCACCAAATCCCCGGAATTTTGGTCCTAAACCCTGAAATTTTAACCCAAAAACTCCCGAATTTTGGGACTGAAACCACAGAATTTTGGGAGTAAAATTCTGAAATTTTCTGCTCTAAAATCCCCAAATTTTGGTCCTAAACCCTCGAAATTTTAACCCAAAAACTCCCAAATTTTGACCCTTAAACTCCAGAATTTTGGAACCAAAACCCTGAAATTTTAACCCAAAAAGCCCCAAATTTTGGCACCAAACCCTCGGAATTTTGGCGACAAATCCCCAAAGTTTTAACCCTAAAATCCCTGAAATTTTAAACCTAAAACTCAAAAATTTGGGCCCAAACCCCCTGAAATTTTAACGTTAAAATTTCAGAATTTTTGGGACTAAAGCACTGAAATTTTAACCCAAAAAGTAAAATTCACAAATTTTAACCCTTAAGCTCCCAAATTTTGGGACTAAAACTCCAAAATTTTAACCCTTAAACTCCCGAATTTGGCCCTAAAACCCTGAAATTTTAACCCTTAAACTCCCAAATTTTGGGACTAAAACCCTGGAATTTTAACCCAAAATCTCCCGAATTTTAACCCTAAAACTCCAGAAGTTTGGGACAAAAACCCTGAAATTTTAACCCAAAATCTCCCAAATTGTAACCCAAAAAAAATTCACGAATTTTAACCCTTAAACTCCCAAATTTTGGGACAAAAACCCTGAAATTTTAACCCAAAATCTCCCAAATTGTAACCCAAAAAAAATTCACGAATTTTAACCCTTAAACTCCCGAATTTTGGCACCAAAATTTTGGAATTCTAATCCAAAATCTCCTGAATTTTAACCCTTACACTCCCGAATTTTGGGACTAAAACCCTGAAATTTTAACCTTCAAACTACTGAATTTTAACCCAAAATCTCTCGAATTTTAACCCTTGAGCTCCCGAATTTCGGGATTAAAATCCCAGAATTTTAACCCCTGAACTCCCGAATTTTGGGACTAAAACCCCAAAATTTTAACCCTTGAACTCCCGAATTTTGGGACTAAAACCCCAGAATTTTAACCCTTGAACTCCCGAATTTTGGGACTAAAATCCTGGAATTTTAACCCAAAACCTCCTGAATTTTAACCCAAAATTTCCCGAATTTTAACCCTTAAACTCCCGAATTTTGGGATTAAAATCCCACAATTTTAACCCTCAAACTCCTGAATTTTAACCCAAAATCTCCCGAATTTTAACCCTAAAACTCCAGAAGTTTGGGACAAAAACCCTGAAATTTTAACCCAAAATCTCCCAAATTGTAACCCAAAAAAAATTCACGAATTTTAACCCTTAAACTCCCGAATTTTGGCACCAAAATTTTGGAATTCTAATCCAAAATCTCCTGAATTTTAACCCTTACACTCCCGAATTTTGGGACTAAAACCCTGAAATTTTAACCTTCAAACTACTGAATTTTAACCCAAAATCTCTCGAATTTTAACCCTTGAGCTCCCGAATTTCGGGATTAAAATCCCAGAATTTTAACCCTTGAACTCCCGAATTTTGGGACTAAAACCCCAGAATTTTAACCCTTGAACTCCCGAATTTTGGGACTAAAATCCTGGAATTTTAACCCAAAACCTCCTGAATTTTAACCCAAAATTTCCCGAATTTTAACCCTTAAACTCCCGAATTTTGGGATTAAAATCCCACAATTTTAACCCTCAAACTCCTGAATTTTAACCCAAAATCTCCCGAATTTTAACCCTTGAGCTCCCGAATTTTGGGACTCCGCTCCCGGCGTTTCCAGCCCCAAAACCCCCAACTCCAGTCCCCCAGCCCCAGCCCCGGTCCCCCCTGCCATGCCGCCCCCCCCGCCCCGGTACCGGTTCCGCCGTTCCGCTCTCGGTGACGGTGGCGGTGCCGCAGCCGCCGCCGCTCTCCGCGGTCTCGGCCATGGCCGCGGGGGGGTCCCCGCTGCTGGGAGGGGACGGCCCCGCTGCTGGGATGGGGCGGGGGCGGAACTGGGAAGGGCCGGGCCGCTCTCGCCGCCGCCCCCGGTGCGGCGCCCGAGGCCGCCCCCACTTCCGGTGCGCGGCGCCGCTTCCGGTGGGTGCGGCAGCGAATCCGCTCCCCCTGCGCAGGCGCTTCCGGGGTGCGCAGAGGGGATTGTGGGTAGGTACGGAGAGGCGGAGGGGACAAGTTTAGTCAGGGGGCGATGGCGGGGGTGCAAAGGGTCCTGAAAAGCAAAAAAAGTCCAAAAAATTCCAAAATTCTGCCCAAAATTTGGGGGGGGGTCGCTTTTATTTCCCTGACTGTGACAGGAACGGTCCCGGAAATCGCCAAAAATGAAAAAAAGTCCGAAAAAAATCCACAAAAAATTCCAAAAACGGACCCAAAAATTCCACAAAAAAAATCTCAAAATTCCCCCCAAAAAATCCCAAAAATCCCAAAGAAAATTCCCCAAAAATCCCAAAAATCTTCTCCAAACTTGGGAATTTCAGGAATCTTCCTTCTCCTGGAACCTGCGGGAAAAGGGAGGGGTCAGGAAATTCGGGATTTGGGGGAATTTGGGATTTTGGGGGAATTTTGGGGCATTTTTTGGGTTAATTTGGGGAATTTTTGGGATATTTTTGGGGAATATTTGGGGTTTTTTGGGGTTTATTTGGGGTGAATTTTGGGGCTGTTTTGGGGAAATTTTGGGATATTTTGGGGATTCTTTCATGGGATATTTTGGGTTTATTTTGGGGTATTTTTGGAGTTATTTTGGGGTTTATTTTGGGGATATTTGGGGTTTATTTCAGGGTGGTTTTGGGATTATTTCAGGGATTTTTTGGGGTTTTTTTGGGGTTTATTTGGGGTGAATTTTGGGGCTGTTTTGGGGAAATTTTGGGGATTCTTTCATGGGATATTCTGGGTTTATTTTGGGTTATTTTGGGGATTTTTTCCGAGATATTTTGGGGTTATTTTGGGTTTACTTCAGGGTGTTTTGGGGATTGTTTTGGGGTATTTTAGGGATTTTTTTGGGCTGATTTTGGGGATATTTTGGGTTTATTTTGGGGTATTTTTGGAGTTATTTTGGGGTTTATTTTGGGCTGTTTTGGGGAAATTTTGGGATATTTTGGGGATTCTTTCATGGGATATTTTGGGTTTATTTTGGGGTATTTTTGGAGTTATTTTGGGGTTTATTTTGGGGATATTTGGGGTTTATTTCAGGGTGGTTTTGGGATTATTTTGGATTATTTCAGGGATTTTTTGGGGGTTTTTGGGGTATTTTTAGGGATATTTTGGGGATATTTTGGATTTATTTTGGGTTTATTTTTGGAGTTATTTTGGGGTGTTTTTAGGGATTATTTTGGGATGTTTTGGGGTTCTTTTGGGGATATTTTCCATTTATTTTGGGCTATTTTGGAGTTATTTTTGGGTTGTTTTAGAGATTATTTTGGGGATATTTTGAGGGGTTTTGGGGCTGTTTCGGGGATTATTTCGGGGTTGTTTTGGGGACATTTTTGGTTTATTTTGGGGATATTTTGTGGTGGGTTTAGGGATATTTTGTGTTTATTTCAGGGATTATTTCGGGGTGCTTTCGGGGTGGTTTTGGGGTGGTTTCAGGGTGGTTTTGGGGTTATTTCAATGATTATTTTGGGGTGTTTTTGGGGTGCTTTCGGGGTGTTTTTGGGGTGGTTTCAGGGTGGTTTTGGGGTTATTTCAATGATTATTTCAGGGATTATTTCGGGGTGTTTTTGGGGTTATTTCGGGGTGGTTTCAGGCTGTTTTTGGGGTTATTTCGGGGTGGTTTCGGGGTGGTTTTGGGGTTATTTCAATGATTATTTCAGGGTGGTTTTGGGGTGGTTTTGGGATTATTTCGGGGTGTATTTGGGGGTGTTTCGGGGTGTTTTTGGGGTGGTTTTGGGGTGGTTTTGGGGTTATTTCAGGGATTATTTTGGGGTTATTTCAATGATTATTTCAGGGTGGTTTTGGGGTTGTTTCGGGGTGGTTTCAGGGTGTTTTTGGGGTTATTTCGGGGTGGTTTCGGGGTGTTTTTGGGGTGCTTTCGGGGTGTTTTTGGGGTGGTTTCAGGGTGGTTTTGGGGTTATTTCAATGATTATTTTGGGGTGTTTTTGGGGTGCTTTCGGGGTGTGGTTTTGGGGTTGTTTCGGGGTGGTTTCAGGGTGTTTTTGGGGTTATTTCGGGGTGGTTTCGGGGTGTTTTTGGGGTTATTTCGGGGTGCTTTCGGGGTGTTTTTGGGGTGCTTTCGGGGTGGTTTCGGGGTGTTTGGGGTGCGTGGCCTGACCTGCAGCGGGGGCAGGTGTAGAAAACCGTCTGGCCCTCGTCGGCCGAGCGCATCTGCCGCGTGCGGAACCACATCCCCTGGTGGGAGCACCTGGGGCAGGCTCTGTCCACCTGAAATAACCAAAATTTAATTTATTTATCTCAAAAGTACCCCTAAAAATCCATTAAATCACCCCACAGTCCCCTGCGGAACCACATCCCCACGTGGGAGCACCTGGGACAGGCTCTGTCCACCTGAAATAACCAAAATTTAATTTATTTATCTCAAAAGTACCCCTAAAAATCCATTAAATCACCCCACAGTCCCCTGCGGAACCACATCCCCGCGTGGGAGCACCGGGGGCACGTTCTGTCCACCTGAAATAACCAAAATTCAATTTATTCACCCTAAAAATCCATTAAATCACCCCACAGTCCCGGGTGGAAGCACATCCCCACGTGGGAGCACCGGGGGCACGTTCTGTCCACCTGAAACAGCAAAAAAATAACCACAAATTCCATTTATTCACCCTAAAAATCCATTACATCACCCCACAGTCCCGGGTGGAAGCACATCCCCACGTGGGAGCACCGGGGGCAGGCTCTGTCCACCTGAAATAACCAAAATTTAATTTATTTATATCTAAAAATCTATTAAATACCCCCACAGTCCCGTGTGGAACCACATCCCCTGGTGGGAGCACCTGGGACAGGCTCTGTCCACCTGAAATAACCAAAATTATAATTATTTACCCTAAAAATATCCCTAAAATTCCATTACATCACCCCACAGTCCCGGGCGGAACCACATCCCCACGTGGGAACATCTGGGGCACGTTCTGTCCACCTGAAATAACCAAAAATTCCATTTATTTGTATCAAAAATATCCCCAGAAATCCATTACATCACCCCACAATCCCGTGCGGAACCACATCCCCGCGTGGGAGCATCTGGGACAGGCTCTGTCCACCTGAAATAGCAAAAAAATAACCCAAAATTCAATTTATTCACCCTAAAATTCCATTAAATCACCCCACAGTCCCGGGTGGAACCACATCCCCGCGTGGGAGCACCTGGGACAGGCTCTGTCCACCTGAAATAGCAAAAATTATAATTATTTACCCTAAAAATATCCCTAAAATTCCATTACATCACCCCACAATCCCCTGCGGAACCACATCCCCTGGTGGGAGCACCTGGGACAGGCTCTGTCCACCTGAAACAGCAAAAAAATAACCCAAAATTCAATTTATTTATCTCAAAAATACCCCCACAGTCCCGTATGGAAGCACATCCCCTGGTGGGAGCACCTGGGGCAGGTTCTGTCAACCTAAAACAGCAAAAATTATAATTATTTATCTCAAAAATACCCCTAAAAATCCATTTATTCACCCCAGAATCCCGGGTGGAAGCACATCCCCTGGTGGGAGCACCGGGGGCACGTTCTGTCCACCTGAAATACCCAAAATTTAATTTATTTATCTCAAAAATTCCATTAAATCACCCCACAGTCCCGTGTGGAACCACATCCCCGCGTGGGAGCACCGGGGGCACGTTCTGTCCACCTGAAATAACCAAAATTCAATTTATTCACCCTAAAAATCCATTAAATCACCCCACAGTCCCGGGTGGAAGCACATCCCCTGGTGGGAGTACCGGGGGCACGTTCTGTCCACCTAAAACAGCAAAAATTATAATTATTTATCTCAAAAATTCCATTAAATCACCCCACAGTCCCGGGTGGAAGCACATCCCCTGGTGGGAGTACCGGGGGCACGTTCTGTCCACCTAAAACAGCAAAAATTATAATTATTTATCTCAAAAATTCCATTAAATCACCCCACAGTCCCGGGTGGAAGCACATCCCCTGGTGGGAGTACCGGGGGCACGTTCTGTCCACCTAAAACAGCAAAAATTATAATTATTTATCTCAAAAATTCCATTAAATCACCCCACAGTCCCGGGCGGAAGCACATCCCCACGTGGGAGCACCTGGGACAGGCTCTGTCCACCTAAAACAGCAAAAAAATAACAAAAAATTCCATTTATTTATCTCAAAAATACCCCCAGAATCCTGGGTGGAAGCACATCCCCACGTGGGAGCACCGGGGGCACGTTCTGTCCACCTAAAACAGCAAAAATTCCATTTATTTGTGTCAAAAATTCCATTTATTCACCCTAAAATTCCATTTATTCACCCTAAAAATACCCCCACAGTCCCGGGTGGAAGCACATCCCCACGTGGGAGCACCTGGGGTTATTTTCATTTTTAATGGGAATTTTCTCCCAAATTTTGGGGAATGTTTTTCCCAAATTCCCGGGAATTTTGGGGGGATTTTCCCCAATTTTTTTTTTTTTTATTTTTCCCTCAAATTTAGGGGATTTTCCCCAATTTTTTTATATTGATGGGAATTTTCTCCCACATTTTTGGGGGGATTTTCCAAAAATTTTTTAAATTTTTAATGGAAATTTTTCCCAAATTTTGGGGGTTTTTTTTCCCAAATTCCCCGGAATTTTGGGCTCGCCCCGCCCGCCCCTCCCCCTCACCGTGGGTCCCTCCTGGGGGGCGGGGCCGCTCCCGCCCCTCCCCCCCCCGGGGCCGTTGAAGCGCAGCGAGCTCCGCACGAGGCAGCCCCGCAGCTCTGGGGGGAAAAACGGCGATTTTGGGAAAAACCGGGAAAAAGCGCGATTTTGGGAAAAACGGGGGGGAAACGGGGTTTGGGGAAAAAAACCGGGATTTTGGGAAAAACGGGGTTTGGGGAAAAACCGGGGGAAAACGGGATTTGGGGAAAAAAAACCGGGATTTTGGGAAAAACCGGGGGGAAAGGGGATTTGGGGAAAAAAACAGGGATTTTGGGAAAAATGGGGGGGAAAAACGGGGTTTGGGGAAAAACATCGGGGGAAAAAGGGATTTGGGGAAAAAAAAACGGGATTTTGGGAAAAATGGGGGGGAAAAACGGGGTTTGGGGAAAAAATGGGGGGGAAAACCGGGATTTTGGGAAAAACTGGGGAGAAAAAACCGGGATTTGGGGAAAAACCGGGGGGAAAGGGGATTTGGGGAAAAAAACAGGGATTTTGGGAAAAATGGGGGGAAAAAACAGGATTTGGGGGAAAATGGGGAAAAAATGGGATTTGGGGAAAACCATCGGGGGAAAAGGGGATTTGGGGAAAAAAAACGGGATTTTGGGAAAAACATCGGGGAGAAAAAACGGGGATTTGGGGAAAAACTGGGAGAAAAAAACGGGATTTTGGGAAAAACACGGGGGGAAACGGGGAAAAAACGGGATTTGGGGAAAAACGGGGAGAAAAAACCGGGATTTTGGGAAAAACTGGAGGGAAAAACTGGGATTTGGGGAAAAACATCGGGGGAAAAGGGGATTTGGGGAAAAAAAACGGGATTTTGGGAAAAACATCGGGGAGAAAAAACGGGGATTTGGGGAAAAACTGGGAGAAAAAAACGGGATTTTGGGAAAAACACGGGGGGAAACGGGGAAAAAACGGGATTTGGGGAAAAACGGGGAGAAAAAACCGGGATTTTGGGAAAAACTGGAGGGAAAAACTGGGATTTGGGGAAAAACATCGGGGGAAACGGGGATTTGGGGAAAAAACCCGGGATTTTGGGAAAAACATTGGTGAGAAAAAACGGGGATTTTGGGAAAAACACGGGGGGAAACAGGGAAAAAATGGGGAAAAAACGGGATTTGGGGAAATAAACGGGATTTGGGGAGAAACGGGGAGAAAACGGGGATTTGGGGAAAAAATGGGAAAAAAAAGGAAAAAACTCGGGATTTGGGGAAAAAACGGGGAAAAAATGGGATTTGGGGAAAAACACAGGGAGAAAACAGGAAAAAAATGGGGAGAAAACGGGATTTGGGGAAAAACGGGATTTTGGGGAAAAAAATGGGGAGAAAACAGGATTTGGGGAAAAACGGGATTTGGGGGAAAAAATGGGGAAAAATGGGATTTTGGGAAAAAATGGGTGGAAAAGGGGATTTGGGGGAAAAAAATGGGATTGGGGAAAAAACCGGAAAAATGGGATTTTGGGAAAAACCAGGGAAAATGGGGAAAATGGGAATTCTGGGGGAAAACCAGGGAAATTTGGAAAAACACGGGGGGAAACAGGGAAAAAATGGGGAAAAAACGGGATTTGGGGAAATAAACGGGATTTTGGGAAAAACGGGGAGAAAACGGGGATTTGGGGGAAAAATGGGAAAAAAAAAGGAAAAAACTCGGGATTTGGGGAAAAAACGGGGAAAAAATGGGATTTGGGGAAAAACACAGGGAGAAAACAGGAAAAAAATGGGGAGAAAACGGGATTTGGGGAAAAACGGGATTTTGGGGAAAAAAATGGGGAAAAATGGGATTTTGGGAAAAAATGGGTGGAAAAGGGGATTTGGGGGAAAAAATGGGATTGGGGAAAAACCAGGGAAAATGGGGAAAATGGGAATTCTGGGGGAAAACCAGGGAAATTTGGGGGGGAAATGGGGAAAAATGAGAAAATTTATGGGGGAAAATGGCAAATTTGGGAGAAATAATAGGGAAAAATAGGGGGAAATGAGAATTTTGGGAGAAAAACGGGAAAGTTCGGGAAAAAAGGGAATTTTGGAGGGGGAAAAAGGGAATTTTGGGAAGCAAAGGGGAATTTTAGGGGAAAAATGGGATTTAATGGGATTTTAGTGGGATTTCATGGGGAGTTTAAAGGGAATTTAATGAGATTTTAATGGGAATTTAATGGGGATTTAATGAGATTTTAATGGGAATTTAATGGGGATTTAATGGGATTTTAATGGGAATTTAATGGGGATTTAATGAGATTTTAATGGGAATTTAATGGGGATTTAATGGGATTTTAATGGGAATTTAATGGGGATTTAATGGGATTTTAATGGGAATTTAATGGGGATTTAATGGGGATTTAATGGGATTTTAAGGGGATTTTAATGGGGATTTAATGGGATTTTAATGGGGATTTAATGGGGATTTAATGAGATTTTAATGGGGATTTAATGGGATTTTAAGGGGATTTTAAGGGGGATTTAATGGGATTTTAAGAGGATTTTAATGGGGATTTAAATGGAATTTATTTGGATTTTAATGGGAATTTTAAGGAGATTTTAATAGGGAATTCAATACGGATTTTAATGGGATTTTATGGGATTTTTATAGGATTTAATGGGGTTTATTGGGATTTTAATGGGATTTTGGTGGGATTTATTGGGATTTTAATGGGAATTGTAATGAGATTTTAATAGGGATTTTAATGGGATTTCAATGGGATTTTAAGGGGAATTTAATGGGATTTTTAAGGGATTTATTGGGATTTTAAAGGGATTTTTATGGGATTTTAATGGGATTTAATGGAAATTTAAAAGAGATTTTAGTAGTGATTTTAATAGAGATTTTAATGGGATTTCAATGGGATTTTAAGGGGAATTTAATGGGATTTTTAAGGGATTTATTGGGATTTTAAAGGGATTTTTATGGGATTTTAATGGGATTTAATGGAAATTTAAATGAGATTTTAGTAGTGATTTTAATAGAGATTTTAATGGGATTTCAATAGGATTTTAATGGGATTTAATGGGATTTTAATGGGATTTCAATAGGATTTTAATGGGATTTAATGGGATTTTAATGGGATTTCAAGGAGATTTTTTTTTTTTGGTTTTTTGGATATTTCTGTGTTTTTCTCCCCAAACCTGAGGCGAGCAGGCAGAAGCCGCAGCGGGGGCAGGGCAGGGCGCTGGGGGGCCGGGATTTATTGGGGTTTTTATGGGATTTATTGGGGTTTTTATGGGATTTATTGGGATTTAATGGGATTTTTGCAGATTTTGGCAGGATTTATCGATTTTCGCGGGGTTTTTTTTGGTTTTTTGGATATTTCTGTGTTTTTCTCCCCAAACCTGAGGCGAGCAGGCAGAAGCCGCAGCGGGGGCAGGGCAGGGCGCTGGGGGGCCGGGATTTATTGGGGTTTTTATGGGATTTATTGGGGTTTTTATGGGATTTATTGGGATTTAATGGGATTTTTGCAGATTTTGGCAGGATTTATCGATTTTCGCGGGGTTTTTTTTGGTTTTTTGGATATTTCTGTGTTTTTGCCCCCAAACCTGAGGCGAGCAGGCAGAAGCCGCAGCGGGGGCAGGGCAGGGCGCTGGCGGCGCCGGGCCGGGGCAGCACCGAGCCGCACTCGGGGCAGAATTCCAGGCGGGAGCGGAAGCAGGAGGGGGGCTGGGCCGGGGGCTCCATCCTGGGGAAAACTGGGGAAAAACACCCAGAAAGGAACTCAGAACCAGCCCAAAGTAACCCAAAACCCACCCAAATAACCTCCAAAATAATCCCAAAAATAACCCCAAAACACCCCAAAAATAACCCCAAAATACCCACAAAATCCAAAATAACCCAAAATAACCTCAAAACACCCCAAAATAACCCAAAATAACCTCAAAACACCCCAAAATAACCCAAAATAACCTCAAAACACCCCAAAATAACCCAAAATAACCTCAAAACACCCCAAAATAACCCAAAATAACCTCAAAACACCCCAAAATAACCCAAAATAACCTCAAAACACCCCAAAATAACCCAAAATAACCTCAAAACACCCCAAAATAACCCAAAATAACCTCAAAACACCCCAAAATAACCCAAAATAACCTCAAAACACCCCAAAATAACCCAAAATAACCTCAAAACACCCCAAAATAACCCAAAATAACCTCAAAACACCCCAAAATAACCCAAAATAACCTCAAAACACCCCAAAATAACCCAAAATAACCTCAAAACACCCCAAAATAACCCAAAATAACCTCAAAACACCCCAAAATAACCCAAAATAACCTCAAAACACCCCAAAATAACCCAAAATAACCTCAAAACACCCCAAAATAACCCAAAATAACCTCAAAACACCCCAAAATAACCCAAAATAACCTCAAAACACCCCAAAATAACCCAAAATAACCTCAAAACACCCCAAAATAACCCAAAATAACCTCAAAACAGCCCAAAATAACCCAAAACCAGCCCTAAATAACCCCAAAAAAACCACAGAAATACCCCTAAAAATAACCCCAAAAAGAACTCCAAACCAACCCAAAATAACCCAAAAAAACCCCCAAATAACCCCAAAAATACCCCAAAAAAACCCCGAAATAACCCCAAAAGTAACCCAAAAATACCCACAAAATAACCCCAAAACACCCCAAAAATACCCACAAAATAACCCCAAAACACCCCAAAAATACCCACAAAATAACCACAGAAATAATCCCCAAAATAACCCAAAACCAACCCAAAATAACCCCAGAAATAACCACAGAAATGCCACCAAAAAAACCCAAAAATACCCGCAAAACCCCCCAAAATAACTCAAAAATAACCCAAAATAACACCAAAAACATCCCCAAAATAGCCCAAAAATAACCACAAATAACCCCAAAAATAATCACAACCACCCCCAAAATAACCCCGAATTCACCCCCAAAATAATCCCAAATTCATCCCAAAAACAACCCCAAAATAACCCCAAAAAACCAGGAAAATGCCCCAAAAAGAGAAGCAAAAACACCCTAAAAATACAAAAAACCCCCCCAAAAATACTCTCAAAATAACCACAATACTCAAAAAAATACCCAAAAACCCAGGAAAACACCCCAAAAAATAAACGCAAAAAAATCCCAAAAATAAACACAAAAACCCCCCAAAAATCCCAAAATTTACCCCAAAAAATTCGGATTTCCACCCTAAAAACATCAGAAATTCTCCCCAAAAAATCCCCTCAAAAAACCCCCGAAATCTCCCCCAAAAAACCCAAAATAAAAAAAATCAAAACCCCCGAAACTGCCCCAAATCCCCCCGAAATTTCCCCCCAAAAATTCCAAATTTTTCCCCAAAATCTCCCAAAAATTCCCCCAAAATCCCCAAAT